GCTAAGGACGTGAAATACCTATTTGAAGCCACAGTCTTGTAGAATTTGGAGAAATTCATAGTATGCCATTATCTGAAAAGAATAGGCTTTTCTACTTGGTCATTACTTGGATTATTTTGCTGAGTATGAAAACTTTTTAAAATTAGCTGTTCATTTTCAAATTGCTAACCGGCTTGATTTCCCACACTTGTCTATTTTTATCACATTCGGATGGTGCCTATTACTGGGAGCTGGGACGGCAGAGGTTTAATTTGTGTCATTAATGTTCTAAATAAAGACGCCTGCCCGCCACGCAGCCGGTGGCTTCACAGGGACGTGATGCACCAGCTTGCTGCCCCACTCCTGGCAGGGACTGGGTTTTAGCAGCAATGCCCATGGCTGGGACCCAGGGAAAGGGACCTGGCATGTCTGGGGGCATGCCACAGCTCACGTAGGTCCCAGCAGAGCCCCCTGTGGTGGCCTGGTGGCTCTTGCGCAGAGGTGGTAGTGCCGGTTTTGGACCACGAAGGGGTTGCCAGTTATGTCCTCCTTACCCAGGGGGTGATTTTCACCTTCAGGGGGCTTGTCCATGCTGGGCAAGTGGGGCTCAACCCACCCACAGCACCAAGGGTGGCACCTGGGAGCCTCATGGAGGCCTTTGTAGGGGCTGATGCTTGGCTGCTTTAGGCTGGTTTTGGAAATAACGTTAGTGGGGGAGGCTTCCCCACACAAGGGCCTTCTGTTAGAGCAACAACTGCCTCCCTTGGGGTGAGGCGGGTGGGAGCCTTCCCACTTTGCAGCTGCTTCTACTTACTTTGAACAAGAACAGCAGAAATGTCGGTCCTCCGTGCCGCCTGTGAGGTGTCTGGGATCACCACACGTTCCCTTGTTTAGGGTGATGATCCTCAGGGATGGGGCAGTACTTTAGGAAGGCAGAGGGAACCTGTGTCCCACTGGTCGGCAGGAACAGGGCTACCCTGGGGGCCCGGCTGTTCCCCTGGAGGGGCCACAGTGACGCTTTGGCACCTCGTGAAGCCTCGCAGGTTTTCTAGCACCTGCACCATTTTCTAGCTGAACCCCCTTTTTACTTCCTGACATGATTAAAAAAAATACGTTCTGTTGTGTAAAATGGCTCTTCTTCAGCATCAGTCCAGGGAGAATTATAGTTTGTAATTGCACTGACAACACAGAAGGGTATGACAGGTAAAGCCTGAATTTAAAAGGAAAAAAAAAGAACACAAAAGGAAGCCTATATAAAATATTTGTTGTGGTCCTCTCTGATCCTTTCAAGATCCTTGGAAAAAGATTCCTGCACTGTGAAGATGTTTTATCTGACTGGGCACCTCCCCACACCTCTCTTCAATACCTGAACCAAAACATTCAAAGTAAGAGACTGTCATAGCGGATGACAAGAAGGAGGAGATGAACACTTACAGTTCATAAACCTGACCTCTTCTCCTCTGCCAGGCAATTTCCCAGATATATATGACAGGGAGCGTGAGGGAGGGCGTGTATGGAAAGTATTTCCACAGCTGAGCTCTTCTTAGAGAAAAACAGATCTGTTTATTAATGACTGTTTTTCACCCTAACGTTTCTAATGGCCAATTAAAGAAGCTCCTTGAGCCTCCTTTTGTTTCAGACTCTTCTCATTCCCAAGAACAGGAAAGGGTGTTTTTAGGGTTATTCAGCCTCCTTTCTTTAAAATCCTCTCTGGGCCCTGGCTGGTCAGGAGATAAGATCTTTTCTGTTAGTATCTGTCAGAGTTGGTAAAGAAGAGCACCAGTGTTTGGTAGATAACATAAAGCTGTAAACTTTCAGTCGGGGAAGTCTATCTTGTATATGTCAGGCAGTGCTTATGTTTGTGTTTATGTTTTTTTGGTAGTCCAAAAAAGAAATTATGTCTTTTCAGATTATTGTGATTTAGTGAGCCTCATGAGACTACAGTATCTTCTGCTCTGGCTAAACCTGGTGCGCATTTCTTTGCTGTGTTGAAAACATAGCTGTAAGGAAAAATAAGGCTGTTGCCTTGGCCACTTTGTATGGTTCCTTGTAGAGTTCCTCCTCCCTGTGAGTTAAGTCAGATTATTCCACCCTGTTGACTCTTCTTGAGCTAGGCTCCGGCTAGACTTCACCTTAAGGGGAAGTGATCACTTTGCAAAACCACAATCTTGTTAGTCATACCCCTGCCAGGCTAAGAGCGGCTAGAGAAACCCCTCCTTGATTCAAGCCAAAGTACTTCATGGATGGACTGGGGCTCAACTGGAGACAGCACTTGACTGGTATTTTGAATAATGCAGTCTAGACTTTCAGTGCTTGATGTTTTTTATAAAGCTGCTTTTCCTGTCAAGTGGCTGCCTGGGCATCTGATCTTTCCTTTAAAAATAGTTTTTTAGCTCTCTTGACTGGGAGGAAAGCTGTGAAACCATGAGAAGGTTTAACTCTTCCTCAGCCACAGCTGACGGCTGCATAGGACTGTGTTAATGGGCAAGGGATGGCTGGAGTGACCTGTGCTGTGACCATGTATCTGAAACACCTTCAGTGCAGACAGAGGGACAAGAGAAGACAACGCATCCTTTACATCACCTTATAGAGTCATTGACCTTGTGGAGTCACCAGCTGCTGCTAAGGACAATCTGACAATGCTTTTTGCACCAAAAAACTATTCTGGGTCTTAATGTATGCATGTACTTAAAGATATGCAAAGAAGGTACTTTCTGGAGGGGGGACGTTCCCCAATTAAATCAAAATGTGCATTTAGAAATATGAAAATGTTCAGACCACCTATCATACCAGTGATTGCGGGAATATGATGATCTCTGAATCTCACTGGATCACAGAGGGCTGCTATTGCAGGCTACTACCCCTTCAGGCTCCCCATTGGCAGGTGGTGAAATGCATCTTCTTGGTTTTCTTTTAATTTTTGTGCACTTCTTTACGGTCTGCTAGCCTAGTACTCATTGAAGGGACACTGCAGAGGCGTAAAAAGTACCAAGCAAGAAGGTTTTGGAAAACTCTTGTCCAAAGTACATTTAGTATGATGTGCCATCATTGTATACCTTTTCCTCTCCCTTCTCATTGCCGTGGCGTCAGGCTTTCAACCTCTCTGTCGGTTCCTTTTCCCAAACTGTATGATATTTTTCCACTGTAGAACTTTTCCTTCTAATATTAATGAAGAGTAGAGCAGCTCCATTTCTATCCATGCCCAACACCTGCAAATGAATTTGCAGTCCTGTCACTGTGAGGTAGGTTCTGTTACAGCATAAGGACATAGGGGGACAGCCGCCACTATGAAAACTAATTCTCCGTATTTGAAATGAACTGTTTGGATGATGAGAAGGAGCATGAGAACAGAGAGATAAAGAGATTGAGCATTCCCTGTTTTCACCTCATGAACACAAAGGCTCTTATTCACTGCAAATGGCAAGTACCTTGCAGGCACGACAGGCTGCAGAACTGCTGTCCAGCCAAAAGACAAGGTCTTTGCTTGAAATTAGATTACTAGCTGCTCCTTTTGTATACAGAAATCCCTCATTTGTGTGCAGAAATGTTGCTTGCTTGTGCAACTGTTTGCTCACATAAAATTTACCTCTTGAAGTTTGTCCTGAAGAGACCTGCTGAAGAGTTACAAACCTCACATCACCATTACAGTGGTGCGTGGCAGGAAAGCTGGGGCACAGTCCGGACCAAAACAAAAAGGGAATCGGAGAAAACACAGCTCTACTCTGAAGCATGTTGATATTTCATATTCTAGTACCCATTTAGCAAACCAACCATGGAAGAGACAGGATCTGTGAGACATTTGATACAAAGGGTGTAAAATAAGGCTCAGAGGGGAAGACAGAAGGAAAAGGGAAAATGAAGGTCCACTTTGACTAATTGTGTTCAAACTTCCAGTCAACAAAATAGCCTTCAGACATAGGCATGTTACTCCAAAACTTCCCTGTCTCCTCCTCACATCAGACTGAAAGAGCCTGAGTCCCTGGCTGATACAATAACTTTCTGCACTCCCCAGCTATGTATGTTGGTGGGTGACAAGTTATTTTCTTAACCTTCCCATTTTCAGCTTGCTACTAAATCAGTTTTTTAATTTTCTACACAGAGGCTACTTATCCCTTGCGCTGAATGCAAATGACTCCATAACTTAGGACTTGTTGAACAAGTATATTTAAGTTAGTACAACTCATGGAGAAGTAACAAAATATGCAGTGAAAATAAACAGGCCACCACATAAAACCGTGTTATCTTCGATGTCAGCAATATTTAGGAAGGAAATTATTTGGAAAGAAAATGTTAGTGTGTATTATGTGCATAATGTGTGACTGAAAAAGAGTAAAATAGCCATTTTATAAACTTGGAAATACTACACATTTCCAAGAGAAATAGAGCTCTAAATAACAAACCACCGTGTTGATCGGCCCCACTGCAGCAGGGGCAGAGTGCTTCCTGGCAGGAAGGATAGATTTTGCTGTCCTCCTCGTGGAATTAAAACCTGGAGAAAAGCTGATGCAAAACCTCAACATCTGGGTGATAAGCACTTCGGCTCAGGTGCCACACGACCTTCTCAAGGGCAGCTGCTCCTCTCAGCAAGGGTCCAGATGGGCTGAAGGGGGCAAACGCCACCCAGCACAGTCAGAAGCAAAACCAGAGGAGCCCGGACCTTGTGTCAGCCCCCAGGATGGGGGGGTTATCCAGCAGGAGATTAGCTTGGGCACCACCGCTGACCAAGGAGGTGCCTCTCTGCCTGCAAAGAGCTGCAGGACTTCAGTGGGAAAACACTGAACCCATAGCCCTCTGCACATGGTTCACGTGGAACGTGAAATGTCTGTTAATGAGAGGGAAGAGAAATGTTGATGAACAATGATATGAACAATACTGATTAATAGTTTGCAAAGGAAAGGTGGAGTAGATGTAAGAAAACATAAGACTCGCATGCATGGAACCCATGTTTAAATGTGATATTTTGATGATGTTTATGGATGTGATGCTGCTCATCCCTTATAATGAATTCTTCTTTGTTTCAGGTAGGAATGAATTGATAGCCAGATACATCAAACTTCGAACAGGGAAGACACGGACCAGGAAGCAGGTAAAATAACCCAGTGGGGAAGTATGCATGTCAGTGAATGACAAAACATGGCATTTTTGGCTGCAGTGGCTGTCTGTGCTTCAGCTCTGATGAGATGATGTATTGACTTCTCTGTTCAGATTAAATACACGCTATTTAGAAAATACTCAAAACTCTGGAGTTTTTATGTTGGGCATCATTTCAGTGGCGGCTTGAGGATGCATTTTTTATTAACCTATGTGTACATGAAGCTATTATCCTCTGTATTTGGGGAAAAAAATTCAAAAGTTGAAGCAGAAGCATAAAGCATTGTGCCTTATTTCTCTATACGGACAATCAGAGAATATAATAATTATTTTAAGATGGTGAATAATGGAATTTCTAAAAGTCCAACCAACTCACCTGTATAATAAAGGTTATGATCCTTAGATGTGAGAGGTAAATAAATAAAAACTATCTAGCAGGACTGATCCTAATTAGTATCTTAGCTCACGGGCAGTACTTGCTACCGGATGAAAAAATAATTTAAAAAATCGCCTAAGAGCCTTCGGGCTCCTGGTCTGTGACCACAGTAAGATTTCGTTCATCAAAGAGTCAGAATAAACCTCTAACCAGTCTTAAGCCCTTTTCAGATGATTATCACATAACCGTTAACTTATCTCATGTGACTAAATCCTTTAATTTATAATACCCACAGTGATCAGCAGCCTCACAGAAGGCACACACTCTGTAGTTTATGCGGTGGTTACCAAACCCTTGCGCTCTTTCAAGATGCTTAGCAAATCGCTGAGTCCCCTCGCTTTCTCTAACATCAAGAGCCAGATTCCCCTTCTCCCCATCCATATGCATGACAAAGGAGAAGGCAGAGGCTCATACACTTACATGCTATGTGTGTTTTGTAATGCAGGGAAAGGTGACGCTGAGTCAGCATGCACAAAGATGGCCTGCTGCCAGCGCTCAGATTTACGCCACTTTGGACGGGGTAATATTTTGCCCTGGGTGGTGTCCTTTGTCAGTTAGGAAGAAAACGTATGTACAGGGGATGAAAAAAGACATGAGAAAGGAGAGAAACTGCAGCACGTGGAGAAGGAACACACAAAAGATTGGCAAAGAAATCTGAAACAAAAGACAAAGTCCCAAGTTCTTCCCTGCTATGCCCATGCGAGCTCCTGTAGTTGGGGATTACGCTGGGATCTTAAAGTTGCATCAGGAGTCAAAATGCAGATCTCGGGGCTAGATCCTGTGATGGCTTACATATGGCAATGTTCTGCCTCCGTACTTGTACATCCCTCTATAGCGATTCATAAATCAATTTAGACTGTTTAGAATAAAGTTTGATTGTTGTTACTCTTGTGTTTCAACTGAGCAATTAAACGTTACAGTTGTGCTTCTTGTATAACCTTTAACACCACTAATATCCCACTGAAAGCAAAAAAAATGAACATGTGTGAAAACTTGGTCTACATGTTTGACTACAAAATTGCTTAGTAAGCAATAGTATAGCTGTGAATTACTGCAAACTGGTTCCTGAGCTGCTTCCTGAAGAAGTCTCTGAAGGGGGCCTTGAGGGGCTGTGCTCATTTATGCATTACTGTTTGCTTCCCTACTAAAAATACAGGCTTTTTGGTACTATTGTCATGGAATACTCTTACAGAGGGAGAAAATCAAGCTTTGTTTCTGCTTTTCTTTTGCTTTGTTCTTTCCCAGACAGGAATTGTAACTAACTTAGGAAAAATGTACAACACTTGATATGGCATGCCCTGGGTCAAATAAAAAGAAGAGATTTCTCTTTAGCAGTTTTTACTTCAGGTTTTAAACCTTCACACAGAGAGCTGTAGGATGCTGAGCACTACTGAGCGATGCCAGGCAGCATCATTAAACCCTCATCATCATAGCACGGATTTCTGTACATGTCTGAGTAAATAGGAATGTGAATCTGGGCCCAGACCCTTCCCTGCACAGGCAACAACTTCTGACCAATAGCTGGTCTAGTGCAGGACTGGGTTTACACAAATTTAACAAAATGTAATGACAATGGGCCAAACCTGGACATCGCTCAAGCTGATGTCAAGTTACTGGTCCCCACTTGCATGACTGTTTTGTGGGCAGATTTGATGCTGAGATTACCGAGGAAGGCAGCACAGGTTCAGGGACCTATGTTGTGCCAGTGTTTTATTGTTTGTTCCAGAATTTAGAGTGTTTCAGTGGGGTTAAAATGCAGCCTGAGGCTCCTCATTGGAGCTTTAGAACACAATAAATAATGGATAAAACTTCTCGGTGCCAACTTATGTCTTGAGCCTAGTGGCAAATGGTCAGTGTGGGCATCTGCATCCCCAGCAGATGGGGTAGAAATCCTGTCGGCTCCCAGCGCGAGAGCACAGGGCCTGGCCATGGATGGGATCGGTACCAAAGCACGTGGGCTGCGTCCAACTACGAACTGTGTCTTCTATCTTGTAGCTGAATGCACAACCTGGTGGGTTACACTTCTTTTTTTTTTTTTTCTTCTTTCTTTTTTCCTTAATCACGTCACTGCAGTGATGACCTATATTGTTAAGCCTCGGTGCTAAGAGCTTGGTATCTGGCTGGGAATGTGGTATCTTTAACAGCAGAGCTTAATGAAGATGCAAATAACTTCCTCCCTTCAGAAAAGTTATTTTTTAAAAACAAAAATAGACATTTTAAATTTGATTTGCTTTTTGTTTTTCTTTTGTTTGTTGTTTTTTTTTTTTCCCCTATAAACCTGAACAATGTAGGTGTCTAGTCACATACAGGTCTTAGCAAGAAAGAAAGTTCGAGAAATTCAAGCCGCCATTAAGGTACGTTTGGCTTGCCCAGTTGTAGGGGGCTTTTCATCTCCATGGTTACAGGCTTTTCCTTTGTTTCCTCCCTTCCCCTACCCTGCAGGTGTCTAGTCACATTCAGGTTCTTGCCAGAAGGAAATCTCGTGATTTTCATTCCAAGCTGAAGGTATGCGCTTTTCTGCTTTTGGGCTTGTGGTTGCTATGCCTGTCCCTTCCTCCTCCCCGCGGTGATGGGCGAGCGCCTGGTGCTGCCGTGCCTGTAACCTCGTTTTCCTGCATGTGGTAGCTGTCTGCGTCTCTTTGTGTTTAATCTCCGGTTTCTGCACTAGCATCCACATTAAAAACGTTGTTTTAACACTGTCCAAATGCGAAGTGAACTACTCTTTGTAACAGCTCAGCACCTAAACCTGATTTTTAACCCATTAGTCATTAGTCTATTTTTTTTTTTTTTTTAACAGTTGAGTGCTAGGAGTGTATTTAAATACACAGGGTTTTTATGCAGTTGTGTAGACGCTTTTTCTTTTTTGCTTTTTCCAGAGGGGTAATTGGGGTAATTGTTTTCCGTTCCCAAATGTTTTTTGTCTGTGCTTTTGAAACACTATCAAGAATACTTAAAATAGATCATTTATTCCAAGTGCCAGAGAGCACAGTTTATCGAGATTGCTCTAACTATAAGGTGTTTCTAGAGTACAATCTAGTATCACCTCAAGTTATGTACTATTTACAAGATTCCCTGAATTTTATTTTTTTTTAAATTAAATTATTGACATTTAATCTTTGGAGAGCCTCAGTCGGAGTCCTGTTCAGGGAATATTAAGTATGTTTGCTTAATCTGACGCGATGAATTGTATATGTCCCCATTTTCCCTGGTTTCCATAGAATATATTCTAAGGCTAAAAAGAAACTCTTGGAAATGCTTAATAGGGGTTTCTTGGATTGCTTGTATTTTCAAGTTTTCCAGCGGAGATCTTGGGACCCTTTTTGTTTTGTTTTCACATTGCTTAAAAGTGGAAGAGGGGCTTTTGCAGTTTTTGCTGTTGATTTTTTCTTTTTAATAAAGAGCAAAGGAACTTTTAAATCTTTTACTTCCCTCCTTTTTTCTTTTTGTCAATTTTTTTTTTATTCCCCCAGATGAGAACAAATCACGTTTTTGTTCTAGCTGAAAAGCAAAATGTTTCAGAAAGTAATTTCACAATACTAAGCGGTGAGCACTGCGGATGCTTACCACGATCCTGGAACCGCAGCATATAAATAACAGCCTGGCTTTGTAACAGGCCTCCTTGACAGAAGCACTGGGTTTTTCGTCCGCAGTGGGCAGCATGCTGGCAAGCTTGTATGGCTGTTGGTGGCTGGCTTTTTAGCTGCACTGGCTGAGCAGTTGGGGTTTGTAAAGAACGACTAAGACAGCTTAAACATACTGCTTTTTAACCGAGGGTGCAATAATACAGAGATATGTAGCATTTTAAGCTTAAATTGTCAATCCTTGATGCCTAAAATTAAGTATGTAAATAGGTGGCCTTACTTTCAGAGGTGCTCAGCACGAGCAGCTCTCAGGGAGTTTTATAGGACTGGTGAGCGCTCAGGGCTGCAAAAATCAGGAAGCCCGCTTAGATACCAAAATGCAGGCCTAGGAGCCTAACAGAAATACTGGATTTACTGTTCTAAAATACTTCCCTTTCTGAATGCCCAAAATAGCTTAAAATATGAAGACGCTTATAAAGCAAAAAATATTTTTAAGTACTGCACCTGCTGTCTGATTTTTATTGAAGCTTTCCAAAGAAGCTAGCTAAATACAAGTAATATTTGAGACCTCTAGCCTAGATGCCATTTGCGGTAAATAGAGATCCAGAAGGATTTTTCGTTTTAAGGAGCCACCTGAAGAAGGAAAGAACTGTTAGGGCAACCAAATATTTTGTAAGGCTTCAGACCTTGCTGCTTCTTCCCACCCATCAGTGGGTTACAGCTCACCCAGAGCTGAGTAGGAAGTAGGGGAGCCGCCATTTTGCTGCAAGGAATTGATTGCTTCAGGAAAAGCCTCCCACCTCCTCGCCCTCAATAATCTGCAGGGGCATTTGCTTCAACTCTCTATGACTCCACGGTGAGGCCAGTGTGTACACTGGTGACAGAGGTTTGCTGGCCCCTGGCCTTGCCAACCTCCAGGCATCGCTGGCAGCAAAAGCCACACCAGCCCTTCACCAGCGGGTCTTGCTGGCCAGTGGGTCCTGGGCTGCTCCTCCTGCCCCTGCTCCTGGGTACTCATGCTGCCCCCAAGATTTAGCTGCCCTGGCAGCCCCGACACAGCCCTGGTGACTCCTCCCCAGCCTCCAGACAGAGGGGTGACCAGAAAGGGCGGAGCAGCCAGGCTCTGCCCGTCTCCCTCCTCTTTTTCTTGCCATTCTTGGTCTCAGTGAACAAGTTGTCATGGCATGACATCAGCCCTCTTGCCCAGGCCTCTTCCAGAGAAGTTGCAGCCTCCCGCAGACCTTTTTCTCACCACATGGAAGAGATGAAACTTTGATGCAAGAAGGTGCCGTAAGGGAGCTGCTTTTATGAGAAAAAGAGGCACCGCTTTTTCTGCCAGGGAGATGCAATTGCTTCCTAGAAGTGGGAGAAACCACTGGTTTTGGACCTGAGAAGGAACCTTGGTGCTCCAGACATTTTGTTAGCGCTACTGCTCATTTTTCTTATTATTCCTGCATTGAACCATCTGTATGGTTTTGTGTCCTTTGAAAACTGCCTGAGAAGGATATCACCGATGTGAAAGTAAGACAAAGTTAATACGTTTTGGCATCTACAAGTACCCATTGTTTCAATGGGGGCCATTTTGGCAGCAGCCTGGATTTCTCCATGAACCTCCTCAGGAAGATGATGGGCTCTTGTTCTCCTGGAGTGCATGCTACCTGTGTTTTACTGGTGAAGGGATGTCCAAGAAGCAGATAGCCAAGGGAAGCAATGATTCTGACCCAGGCCAGTCTTGCCCTTTTAACAATGAGCTGGCATGTGCAATTACTCTGTATAACCTGTGATTAATTGGTGGCATCCAGGGGAGCAGTTACTATTTAAAAAACCCGCATGCATCTCATGTCAAGTTTCCTACCTACAGCATGAAGGGCAAGCACTCTATGGATTGATGCAGAGATCCCTCATGCCAGTCCATAGCTACGAGTTTAGTCAGCTCTGACCCGAGGCCATCTCCATCTCCCGTGTTTCTTCCTCTTGCCACCAGACGTCCCTTCTGTGCACCTCCCACGTGTACACGGGGCAGGGCATTGCAGAGAAGCCGGTGGTTCCCTGAGTGCCAGTGCTGCTTTAGCTGAAATAGTTACAGGCAGGCACTTGAGGACTGCAGGGCATGGCACAGAGGCTCTTGTCCCCCAGCTGACATCCATTGCTAGCGGTTTTCTTCATAATGCCATTTCTTATTGATCTTCTGGGATGTGGCTGATCTGTCCCGTTGACCTCAGTTCCTGGTCTCTTACTTTGACAAAGGGTATAATAAATAACTTGTTCCCCAAGCACCTGCTGAGTTTATTTTATACCAAGAGAATTTTCTGTCTCTTCTGGGTCTGAATCCTACTCATGGTGAGGAGAGGACTTGGGTGAATCTTTCTGTGTTTGTCTTCTGCAAAATTCCAAATGGATGGAAAGATTTCAGAGCTATCTGCACCCATGGCATTGGATAGAGTATTACTGAAGCTTACCTAATAGATTGAAATCTCACCTGCATGCCATGAAGTCTGCTTGGTCCAGCAAAGTCCCTTTCCTTTGATGATAAGTGGCTACAGTTGCTCTGGACAGATGGATCCTTACAGCCTGCAAAAAGAGAAGTTTTGCACATAAATGCTATTGCTGCATTTCAAGACCACCAGTAGAGAATGTCCCATGAGCCTTCCAGGGATGTTGTACCTTGGAATTCTTTTTACAGGAGGAAAATACTCTTATTATGGAGATTTTAATCTTAATTTTCTGAGGTTATTAAAATCTTCCTGAAGAAGTTAGAGAAATTTTGTCTCATGAAAATGGAAAGAGAAGCTCAGATAAAGCTGTCCTTGGAGGCAGATCTGAAAGGCGGCTCCTCTTCGTGACATTTCCTCTCATGCGGGGACTGGAGGAGGCAAAGCAGAATTTTTACGCTCTGATGTTGTACTTCCATGTCAAATACACCAGTCCATAGTGTTAGGTTGCAGCATTTCCCACCTTTGCACTGACAGGGAGCCAAAGTCACTTCTGTCCATTCAGGAGAAAAGAAGGATTGGAAGTTCTGCATAGAGAGTAAAGGTCTTCACAGCAGGATATACATTATCTTAGACTTTCATTTCAGATATTTTTTCATACTGCAAGATTAATTAGACAGAGACAAAAAGAAACATTAAAATGCCTACAGTTCACATGTATTACATGTTTTAAAATCCATTATTCTACATTCTGTAGTGAGGGATAAAAAGAAAATATTGTTGTCAATTATAAAATGCTAAAGATAGCTCTATACTTTTTAAATGAACAATGATAAAAGCCTTGAAAAATTCCCTTTGATGTGAATGGAGTCTTCAGCATTTTGAAATACAATAAGATGGATTAATTGCTACTCATTAGGCAGCAAGTTGGGACAGCTTTGAATGCGCATTCTCTTCTTGGCATTAGCTATTGCCTGGCTGAAATAGCCAGCTTTTGTATTTACTCCTGTCTTCTCTAATAATAAGCAAATTGGAGATCAGGGCTAGAAACACTGAAGTGCTCTCTATCTTTTGTCCAGAACAATTGTATATTTTCATGATTTGTTTATCTTTTTGAGCTACAGCTAATTATTGCAAAGGTTATTTGAATTAATATGAGATCTGAGCAGAAATAACATCTGCAAAATTGCTTATTAGGAATCTATTTTATGTTAGTGTTACTGTAATATCCATTTTGTCAGCAAATTGTTGTTTCTACTCTTATGTCATTTTTTTCCCTACAAAAAAAGTTTTGTATTTTAACTATTGGTACAGGTTTTAGGGCTTCTTGGATTAATACTGTGTTCTGTTGTGCTTACTTTTCCTCATGCTGTCTTAGATTTTTTTCCCCAAAGTCATAGATAACGTGGTATTCAAAGCCCCATTTATCATTCTAGCATAACAGTTTTTATTTTTTGCTGTAGAACTTGTTTGAACTGATTGATTGAATTATTCTTCTGTTTATGTTGGATTAAAGAAAGTCAAGCACAAATCCTTTTGTGCTTGTCATGTAGAACTCTTGTTTCATGTGGGGCTTTTATAGATATTAAGTTTTATAATTGGATGATACTGGGGAATTATTATTATCTAATTTAACTATGTATTTTGCATTCCGAAACTAATGGGTGAAAAGTAAACCTCAAGGGCCTGATTCATTAAAAGTTATATAGTCTCTTTGCATTAGACTCTTAGCACTTACGCCTTCCAAAAAGAAAGCGTTTGCAACTGCAGCCAGAAGCAGTTGGCTAAAACATGAGGCAGATCCTGATCTCCATTACAGTGATGACATTTTAGGGGTTTAGTGGAACTAGACCAGATTGCCACTGATTGTACTCTAAATCCACCTCGGTAACATTCATTACTAATTACGAACCACAGCACAGGAGACTTTTACAAGGGGAGGGGAAGGCAGCAGTCTAAGAGTGCAGTCTGTTACTTACTACAGTGTCATTCCTGGGCAGCAGCAATCCCATCAGAGCTCATAAATTAAGTAGGGTCAAGCCAGGTCAGGGCCAGATGGGACCTATCCAAGGAATACCTTAAGCTCCAGCAGGATTTAATGATTCAGTAGGAGATACTGTCCCCCCAAGCCTCTGCTGGACCTCAGCACAGGACTCCCTAGAACACTGGGCCAAACTTTTGTTTTACATACATCAGGGTAAACCTCATTGACCCTAAAGGATTTATTCCAGCTTTACACAGCAGCACAAGTGAGAGCAAAACCAAACCCCTTCTGTCTTGGACAAGATAGGAAATCAAAGTCCTAACTATTTGTGGTCATTAAAAATCCCACAACGTTCCTGTTTAGAGTAGGGTTGTTAACCCATTTGTCCTGGCCAAATTCCAACCTGGGTAATTACTGTAATCTGCCTGTGTAAATTACCCCTGCCGTTTTAATTGGATATATTACTTTTCTTGCTGCCTAAACTGTGATGTAATACCATTGTGTGTTATTAATCAGTTACCAAGTTTCATCCCAGAAGCAGCCGCGTTGCAGTGATAGGTAGAAAGACTCATTCCCTCCTGGTTATGAGCTCTCTCCATTACGGTGTAAAAAAACCCCAACATATACTTATTTTTTTTAAGTGGCAGACAAGCTAATATTTCAATTTAAATAAACAGCTTTAAAATGTGGCTTTCCGATTTGTTTTTGAAGACTACAAGGTCTGCCTGATTATACAAGCATGGGCCACCACCTTGCAGCTCTCCAAAACGTTCCTGGAGCTGAAGGGGCTTTTTTGCCAATGGAAGTCAGGACCTCCTATGTATTTGTATTTGATTTTTAATTTTATTTCTTTAATGTTTGAATGTGATGTTAACAGCTCTTTGAGTAAAACTGATGTTCCAGCTATGCAGAGGTTCCTAAGCCTACAAAAGGTGAAACTTCCCATTGATGTGGGTTGGCCTGAGTCAATTGATGTCCAGTGGAGCTGGCAGATTTGTCACCGTTGAGAAACTTTGTAGGAGTCACTGAAACTCCTCAAGACTAGTCCTATGGCAAAGACTGTATTTCTGAGCTGTCATCCTACATATTTTTGCTTTCTTGACATACTCCTGAAAACGTAGTAAGTCAAAGAGGAGGAGATGAATGGCCACCACAAAATGTAGAACATTCTGGGGTGAAAAGCAGCAACTGGCAAGAAGGAAGACATATCCCTTCTCATGCCATGAAACAAAAGATGTTTTCTCCCTCCAAAAATCCTTGTCACTGTTCCTAAAACTAAGGATCATCGGGCTCACTGCTAATGGCGGCTAAGAGCTCCACAGGACAGTGTAAGTGTTCCTCCTTCTGTGAACAGAAGGTCTTGAAGGAAGTGTACATTTTCAAAATTTTTTCTTTAGTTCATCTGTTATGATGGGATTTACCTGCCGTAACCACTGCCGTGTAGAAGTTGGGTGTCCCAGATCCTATTCTAGTCCTTGGATAGTGATAACATTACTGGAAGTAATGCACTCCAGTTGGTTTGGATGCCTGGTAAGGAAGAAATACTTTGTAGGTCCTTACTGCCCTAACAATAGGAGGAGGTTAGCCATCTGCCTTGGACTGGAGGCTTCAGGTGGCTTAGGCGAGGTGCGATGAACTGTGTCATTGATACGTAATCTGCCGCAGGTTCATGCAACTCCCAGATACCGACTTTTATATCCCTAACAAAGCTTTTACTTTTAAATTCTCCTTTAGTTTAGATCCACCAGGCAATTATAGCAACAGAACAGCATGAGTCTGGGAACTGGGCAGGAGCACAGACACTGGCTGCACCCTCGCGTGGTGGCACTGGCGTGGCTGACCGCAGCCAGGAGGCAGTGCAGGAGAGGAGGCTGTAGTGCTGCAGGAGTTTGGAGAATAACAAGGCAGTCACAAAAGCAGTGCTCACATAGTTTTGGAGTTTACTAGGACCCAGAGGCACACATGTCCTTTGAATCATGCTTTTCACACACAGGATATCGATCCCCTGTATGTTTGGTTTTGGTAGGATTCAGCTGACTGCAGGTGAGACTTGGATGGTTTGGCATTTCCAAGCCAGCTCACCTAACAAAAAAATTGGGGGCAAGGGAACAGAAAAGTCTGGTGGGTCTAGCATCTCTGTGTTGCTTAAGGACATAAAACATTTCATGTTTTAGTGATGGAGGGTCCTTCTTACTATGCAGGAGGGCAGAGGGGTTGGCTTTCTGGAGAGCTGCATGAATCTCGGGATACTGCCACCTCTTGACATCCACCAAAGCACTTTTAGTCCAGTAGTCTGCAGACATCCAAAGGCAACCAGTAAAACATGCCCTGCGCCAACCTCCTGTGCCCACCCCCTACCCTGGGGCAGGGAGAGGTCAGTGCCAGTAGCCAGCAGAGCTGGAGCTGACTTCCAGCTCTTACCCAGTGAATTGGTTGTGGTTATATGGGGAAGCTGCAAGTTGGAGGAACAACCACATTTTTTTCATGTGGTGATGGATAGCATGTCCCCCTGCCTCCAGAAGCTGCTCTGTAGATGCACAGTAAGGTGGTCCTGAGGGTGGGACAGGTCAGAAAGCAGGGTCCAGTGTTGCAGTGCGGGAGGCAGTGCAGGTGAGTCCGCAGGTGATACTGCGGGTTGCACTTCAGGCTCGCATCCTGTGAGGTGCAGAGGGGGGATGCTGCTGGAGCAGCTACTCCCCTGCTCCACCTGCCGCTCTCCCGGGCTGCATCCCGCAGAGGCACCCGCAGGGGCTCCTTGCGCAGCTCAGGGAAGCAAGCTCAGCAGCAATCCCCTTCATTCAGTGTCTGCAGCTTTCACGGAGGGAGGCGGGGTTTATTTCCCCCCAGTGTTTTGTTGTTAGTTTTTTATCCCTTTTATTTTTTTCTTCCTTTTAATGAATCAGTCCCGAGGTGAAAATAATACGTTTGTTTAAACCTGATATTTAATGTTGAGCAAACTGCTCTTCCTTTGTCTCTTACTATTTTGTTCATATTTTGCTAAGAATCTGCTATTCTACACAAGCATTTTAATAAACTGTTTGTTGTTGTATCCAGGTAACAAGCATGGTAAGTATTTTAACTAAACCAAGTATTATGTACCTTAGCTGTGCTTGGCAGAATTTTTGGCTAGCTTTTCCTGTACTTTCAGCCTGTGCTGTTTCTAAAGGAGCTATTCAAAGGAAGAAACTGCTCACCTATAGTACTACTACATATAAGCTTTAGAGGGAGCATATGTGCAAAGTCATATATCATATATAAGAGCATGCATCTCTTGCCAGCATGCTTGCTACTTTGCTTGTAAAATAAAAAGAGAAAAAGAAAAAACCAAATACTTGCTTAATACTTGCTTGTGTTCCTTCATTCTAAGTCACGTACCTAAGTATTAGCACTTATTAATACAGTACTTCTGGATGAGGAACCCCACTTTACCAGATAGTAACAGTCTGTTGTTTACTTCTTTTACCTGACCTAAGATATCCACTTAGTTAACTCTGTTGCATTAAGAGGCTTTCCTTTTCTATGCTGTGATCATACATGATTGGCAGTGACTAGGACTCTAAGCGCTGCTCTAATACAAGTAATCGATAACCACCCATCTTTTCCTAAACTTGTTCCTGTATGCTTGAAAACAGCAGAAGTTTTGTGGCTAATTGTTTTCTTTGGGAACACTGTAAATCAGTAAAATACCACAATTGGAAGTTTAAAATGTTATTTACATTTTTGTTATCTAACTTCTAAAATACTTTTCATAAAACAGAACCCAAAATGTTTCTAAACCCGTAAGCATGAAGAAAAATCTGTCATTGTTTGCGAGTCAGTCGCAGTTCTGTGTTCTCACTTTACATTGTAATACAAAAGGCAAACTTCTCTTAGATCTAAATGATAGAGCTCAAATCTCAGCGCTCCCTGTCCTGCAGGCAGAGCCTTAGCAGCAGACCGTGTTTAGCTCAGCCTGATTTAAAATCAGCAGAATTTGCCCAGATAAACAAGCGGGCAGTAGTTTGCTCTCCCAGAGCTTCCTGCGTGTTGGCAGAGCAGACTGTGAGAATTCAGGTCTACCATGCATGTCTGAGAGGAGGTTTTGCCTTGAGGTAGTTTGAGTGTTGTTTTTTTTTTTCCTGCATGGTTTGCTATTTTTGCATTTTCTGTGTGGCTTTTTAAGTTTTTAGTTATGTGCTTGTAGCTGCAGTTCTTTAACATCATTTGTTGTGCCAAATGTTTTAAGACTCCGTGTAATTGTCATATTAAAGGATCAGACAGCAAAGGACAAAGCACTCCAGCACATGGCAGCAATGTCATCAGCTCAGATAGTCTCAGCTACTGCTATTCACAACAAGCTGGGCCTGCCAGGAATTCCCCGTCCTACATTTCCTGGGGCACCTGGGGTAAGTTGTTAGCCGAGTCCCAAAAAAATCCCTGTATTCTCTAACAATGTTCAGTAGAAAGCTAAGGCTGAATGAATGGATTAATGCTTTCACTTGTGTTTGCAAAAGGAATCATGCTTGTTCAGAAATATCCAAAATCTTTCAACAAAGAAAAAAATTGCAGGTCTGTCTGTTTGTTTTTCCTCTTTCAGTTTTGGCCGGGCATGATTCAAACGGGGCAGCCTGGATCCTCGCAAGAGTAAGTCTGAAAATTAAAATATGCTTCTATGTGCCGTGTGGGGCTGGCTTGTGCACTTTGCTGCCAGAGGATATCAATGAGGCAAGAACTTGCAAATTTTTTTAAAAATGAGGAAATTGT